ACGACGAGGAGCTGACTGAGGAGGACGAAGCCAGCATATTGCGCTCTTCTACTGCCGGTCTCGGCGAGTTTGTCCTCGCGCTCCTGGGCAAGGTGTTTGCACTGCTCGAAAACCTCCCGGATGCCAGCCATCTTCGCACCGGCTCGCCCGAAGATAACGTCATCAACACCCTACCCGCTGCCCTTACGCCCTTGTTTGCATCGCTGTCCCCGGAGCTCTTCGACATGGTACTCGAAAAGCTTGCCGCTTTCGTCTCCAGCCACGTTGTCCACCAAGCTCGGGATGCCATGGCATGGATCTGCAATGCGCTGTGCAAGGCCAATCCGGAGAAGACGCTGAAGGTGTTCATCCCCATGTTGATCGTCAATATCCGCAACGAAATTGACTACAACGGGGCGGCATCGGATCGAAGCAGCGGTACCGAGGTACTGCCCCGGGACCGAGCCCTCGTCTGGCACGTCAGCCTGCTTAGCATGTGTGCTGTCCATGTGGGCGCTGAAGTGCTGCGGTACAAGGATGAGCTTCTTGGGATTGCCGAGTACATGCAAGAGAAGTGTCGTGGCCTCCCCACCATCCACATCTCAAACTACATACATCATCTCCTCCTCAACCTGACCCACACGTATCCCATCGATAACGCTCTCTACGAACCCGATGTCATCGCTGACGGCTTGGACGCCAAACACTGGGGCCGCCCAACGCCCCCGTCAGAACTCACCATCAAGTGGCATCGTCCGTCGCATGCTGAGATTCTCTTTGCGGTGGAGCTGTTCGAGAGTCAGGCTAGGAGTGCTGGTCGGAGGCTCGCGCAGCTAATGAGCGATGACCCGCCCGTTAGCAGGAAAGGAAAGAACAAGGAGTGGTCCGACGAGCTGTCGCGCAGTCTGACTGCGCTGAGGCTGATGATCTCGGGGATAGCCACGCTTTTCGACCCACTCCGCGCTTCCGGAGAGCGGGCCAACCTCGATGCCAACGGCGACGAGATTGATGACGAAGGTGACGCGATGATGGAGGAGGATGATGACCCCCTTGCCGAGGTCGCCGACGACGACGAGATGAAAAGGCAGTTCCGGTACGCCGCCGGGTACCTGCTGAGTCCCCAGGATCCCGTGTACGAGCGCCTGCACAGCTTGCGCGAGAAAATCGGGCGGCTCCTCTCGCAAACTCACGCATTTCTGAACGCGAATCAAGAGGACGATGTCGCGTGTTTCACGGCACTGTATGCCGCGTACAGAACGTGGGTCACCGACGTCGGCATCGAGCGGTCGGCCCACCCATTGGAGCGCCTCCTCCGCCTTTACAAGGCCGACATTTCGCCATTTCGAATCAACGGGCTTCGAAAGGTCTACCCGCGGCCGCTGCTGATCAAGCGCGCGGATGCTTACCAGCTTCAGCGTGTCAAGTACAATTCGGCTTACCGCAAGAAGAGCGAGCTGGACACCCAGTTGCTTCTCGACCTCGCCGAGTCTTGCACCTCGTCGTACACAGACGTCCGCCGGGTGGCCCAAAATGCCCAAGACGCCTCGCTTAAAGTGCTGCTAGGAGGAAGGCCCCTGGTCATACCCGTCGTGTTGGACAGGTTGCGCAAGGCACTCGAGGAAAGCGATCATGACCGCATCAAGGGAGCAATGTACACGCTCCTATTCACGACGCTGATTAAAACCGTTATGCGCGACTGGCGGTTCGCGCCCGATCTGATGCGCCTCTACATCGAGACGGCCAGCGTCGATAAGGCTTCGATCCAGAGCCTCGGGTCCTCGGCGCTGTATCCGTTACTCGAGTTTGGGAAGCCCCTTGAGCGCATGATCATCTTTGACCGAGACCTGGTCGAGACCATTCGCCCTGCCGAGGACTGCTCTCCCGCCATCAAGCGCCGCAACGGTTTCATCAGAGAGCGTCGGACCAAGGTGGAGGCAAAAAAGGCAGCGCTGGGCTTGGAGCTCATCAGGAAGGCGCGCGAATCACACTGGAAGGTCGCTAACAGATGCACCATTTTCGCCCTGAACTGTACCTTGCGCTTCGATACGCTTGGGAACCTAGAGTTCATAGACCTTATCGCCAACGGAGCTAATGACCAACACCCCGGGTTGCGAGCGAGCTACCTGTCGGCATTCTCGGCTTTATTCACCGCCATCGACATGCGAGCTGTTTACGGCCACAACTACGAGAACTACCTCACCGAAGAGGAAACGGACCCGAACAAGTTGGAGATGGAGGTGCCGACGGATCATCCTCAGGTGACTGAGAAGTTCCTCGCCCAGTTTGAGTCGTACGACAACGTTCAATTCTTTGTCGACCAGGACCACCCGGGCTGGCTTGTGTGGGGCAAGAAGGTGGCAGTGGCCCCCGCCGACCCGAAGCCGTTCGTCTACGACGAGCTCGAAGAACGTGTGCGGGAGCAGATCGGCAGGACCATCACCAGGCAGTGGCTCCAAGTGGCCTTCGGCTATCTCAAGCAGGAGCCTAGGGATTCCGGTGCAGACCGCTTCCGGATGCAGAACGTCGTGCTGCTGATGAACGTGTTCGACTTGATGCACTACGGTAAGACGGTTGCCACGTTTGACGACGTCGTCGAGATGGTCAAGGAAGTGTATGGAGACGGTAGCGACAAGCACCAGCACCGTGCCACCGCCGAGATCCTTGGTGCGCTGCTCGCGGGGAGCGTAGACGACCCGAAGGCGATACGGGACAAGGTGTGGGCGTTCGCGGCCCCGATGATGCTGCGAATCATCGCCGACGACTTGACGCCGGACAATCTCTCTTACTGGATGACTTGCCTACACGTCATTATCGACGACAAGGATCCCAGGCGGTCGCGGGAGCTGACCGAAGCGCTGGCGTCGTTCCGGCTAGACATGAACTCGAACGCCGCGTTCAAGGAATCTTCCAAGATGCAGCTTGTCGAGTTTATTGTCAACGACGCGGGGTGGCACTTCCGCCACGAGAAGCCTATCCTTGACGACTGCCTGGCACACCTTGACCATCCGTACAAGTCGGTGCGCGAGTCGATCGGGAGGATCATCGCGACCATCTACCGCACCCGGTACCACGAGTCCTTCAAGGACGTGTCGACGCTTCTCGAGCAGAATAAGGCGGCGTCTTCCACCGGGATCCGTCCGTACCAACCATCAGAAGAATTCGCGGCCACCATCAAGGACGTCTTTGCCCGCCTCGAGAAGTGGCGGCACGAGCGCACCCCTGGCCAGCAAACGCCGTCTAGCTACACATCCGGCTCCAAGACTGTCCTCATCTGGCTTGACAGCGTGCTCTCGTCTCAAGAGTGCATCCAGCTCGTCCCCTTCTTCCCGGACCCGTTTATCGAAGCGCTCTTGCACATGATGGACGTCAAGGAGGACCCGGAGCTCATGAAGCTCGCCTACCACGTGTATCGGCACCTGCCCAACATCCCCCTCCGCGAGGGCGAGGACGACGCCTTCATCGCCATGCTTATCCGCGTCGGCAAGACGGCCGCCTCGTGGCACCAGCGCCTGCGCGCCCTTGTCAACATGCAGGTCGTCTACTTCCGCCGCCTGTTCCTGACCCAGCCCGCCCAGCGCCAGATGCTTTTCGACGCCGTCGGCGACATGCTCGCCGACCCGCAGCTCGAGGTGCGCGACTGCGCGAGCGCCACCCTGGCCGGCATGATCCGCTGCTCGCCGGCCTCGATCCGTAACCCCGTCATCTACCAGCTCAAGGACCGGTTCGAGACGCAGCTGCGGGCGAACCCCATGCCCAAGCGCAAGGCGCCCGGGACGGACACGCCCGTCGACGCGCAGCGGCAGGTGGTGCGGCGGCACGCGGCCGTGCTGGGGCTGGGCGCGCTCGTCGAGGCGTTTCCCTACGCGACGCCGCCGCCGCGGTGGATGCCCGAGGTGCTGGCGCACTTGGCCACGAGGGCGGCCAGCGATCCGGGCGTGGTGGGCAAGGCGACCAAGGCGATTTTGGCCGAGTTTAAAAAGACGAGGCAGGATAGTTGGGGGGTCGATCAGAAGGTTTGTTTTCTTTTTTCTTGGTTGCCCCTTTCTTTTTTCCGTTAGCTTGGTTTTTCCCCTTTTCCCCCGTTTGCTGCCCCTTCCCCGCGTTTCCTGCACCTTCCCCTCGCTTACTGCCCCTTTCCTCGCCCTCCCCACCCCATGTGTTTTTCTCTTAGGGGGTTTCCCTGTGTCTTTTCTTCCCCATTAAATCCCATGCCCTCCTCCTCCCCCCACCATTACCACCGACCGGAATCGACATTGTGTCTCGTTTGAGGTTCGGCATGTTGGCTCGGTCACTGTTTTGCTTCTGGAGTAGGTATGCTGTAAGAGCGAAAGATGGCTGACTCTGCGTGGCTACAGTACTTTACGAGCGAGCAGCTGGAGGATCTGGAGGGGGTCCTATGGAAGAGCTACTTTGCCTGAGTTGGGTTTGTTGGGAAGGTGTTCGAGTCTGGGAAGGGGTTGAGATGGGACAGGGGGACAGTACCGGATGAGATTGGTAGTGTTAATCGGTATTCGTATTGGCTTTGACATGGTCTGGGCTGGGAAGGGAGGGAGGTGGGAGGAAAGGGACGAGCGGAATCAGGATGACGAAATATGCTTTTTAGTAGAGGGTATTCTTACATTGGGCATCTACTATGGGGTCTGTTATGAACAATGCGGTGCAATCTTGGCTGTGTTTTGGGTAATGGGAGAGTGAGAGCGGCGTGGGGAGATTGACATGATGATTGGGCTGGCTGGATAGAGGCAAGAAAATGGTCAGGTGGGTTTGCATTGCTAGTGATTAGAAGGTGTTTATTCTGGCTGCTCGAGCTACGGGATACAAAGCTTGGGTGGAGGGAGGTTAGGGCGTGTTGCTGTGCTGAGTTGAGGTGGTTTACCGTCAGCTTTACATGAGGTTAAGATGGGGCCGATTTTGGAGGCAAATATGGGAGGGACACGGGCTGAGACAATGAAGAAACGGATCGAAGACAACGCAAAGTCTGAGTTGTGTGGGTGAAGAAAGAGATGATATGGGACAAAAATTGATCGACCTAGGGATCGAACCTGGCACCTTCTCGGTAGGTAAAACCTATCTATTCATCTTTGTGAACGAGACGTGATAACCACTACACCAGTCGACCTAACAGCTTGTTCAAAATTTGACAATCTTGAAGTTGAGACGCAGAGAGGTCAGGGCTTGGCCAGATATCCCCCTTTTGTCATGGTAATCGGAGGGTGCAAAACCCCTAGGGCAAGACAAACGCGTGGGACACCCTGTTTTAACACTCGAGTCTACGTCTGCAGGCAATGAAGACGACTCGTGTATATATAATTAGATTAAATAGTCGGGTAGTGAACCTGACACCTCCTTCATGTGACATTTGCCTTCGTACAAATCTTGGAGGTTTCAACCTGTGATTTTAGACCCGAGTTAGCATACAATGTTACCCAGTCGACAATGCTGATCTAAGGTATCCAGAACGACAACAGTACGCACCTGACCTCCCAAGTACTTCATGCTGTCCAAAAACGCCCCCTTAACGCCCACCCCTACCTTATGGGGTACCCACCTCTTGACCTCCCAAAGTGTAAATGTGCCCATTGACGTTTCCTCCTCACCCCCACCGGACAGCTTCAGCCCGGCGGCCCTGCCACTGTCCTAGTAGAAAACCATCTCCGGAACGGATTCCAGCTCTTGCGCATTGCCTGGATCTGCTGCGTCCGCCGCAGCGAGGCCAGCTCCTCGCTCGACATGAGCGCCGAGAGCCCCTGCCACACCTCACTGTCGTGCTTGACGCGCAGCGCATTGTGCGTGACGAGAAGCATCAGGGAGCTGTACAGGCCCTCGCACATCTCCGGGGGCGCCACCAAAGGTTGCCCGGCCGAGGCTACCGAGGCCAGGGCGGGTAACCGCTGGAGGGCGGCTGCGGAGAAGGGCGGGGCGGCGAAGAACCGGGCCTTTTCGTCCAGGGTGGCGTGCGGGCCTGTGTTGAGGATGGTTTCGACCATCTGCGGGTTGGGGCCCAGCGTGGTCTCGCCGTTTCGGCCGAAGCGGCCTCGCAGGGCGCAGTCGAGCAGGTGCAGCTTTAGGGGGCTCGATGGTGGGGTGGACAGGAGATGGTCGCGTACGTAGAGGACGAGATTCCACTTGATGGCGTGGGTGAGAAAGTCGGAGGAGCCCCAGTTGGCCCAGGGGTAGCCCGGCTGCTGGGTAGGGAATTCCTTGATGCGCTGCAGGATGACGCCCTGCAGTCCGTCCAGAAGGGGCCCTAGGCTTGCTCCGTTTGCCATCTCGTACTGCTGTGCGGCGAAGAACATGTCGCTGATCAGATCCTTTGTGGGCCCGGGCCCGCGAAGATAGCCGTACCTGACTGGGGCGGACTTGAGCATGGCCAGGCTGGACTTGCAGAGGGTGCGGTAGGGGTCGAACTTGGTCGTCTGAGGAGGCGGTTGGCCGTATTCGACGAAGGAGTCCTGTCTCTGGAGCATACTCCAGACCACAAGCTGCTTCTGCACCGCTGTCGTCCGGAGGAAGTCCTTGACGGTTCGATGGAGGAAATCGACGCGGTGGCAGTACGGGGGCTCTGCGTTGGGTAAAGTGGTGACTTCCAGGAGACCCTTGAATCTGCCGTTCAATCGCTTGCCCATTTCGCCTTGCCTCGCAGCGAGCTCCTGGGGGTATAGCGCAAGATTGGACATTCTTGAGAGAAAATGCTCGTCTACCTCGTCCATGTCGATGTACCAGTAGTTCAGCAAAGAAAGCGGCCGCGGGGCAGCAAGCGAAACCTGAAAGAGCCTCGCAGTCTGTACTCGATATGCTCCGTCTAGAGACTCTAGGATGTGGCTAAAAAAGTCATCCAGATCCGAAGGAAACGCCCGGAGACGACGTTGCAGGTCCTCGATTCGATCCCAGTTTAGGAGCCCCTGGATCAGCGACCGGACCACGAGGTAGACCCAGAGGAAGACCCCTTGGGCTTTGTCGATTATCTCGAGGATCAGCCGGTCGGCTTCTAAGTGCCTTGCACGAACTACCTGAAAATCCGGGCGGCTCTGGAGCTTGTCTCTGACGTACAGCTCGATATCAGGCCGGTTGAACTGCTCTAGGTACAGCTTGTGCACCACGTCGTTGCCGAAGGCGTGCTCGAAGATGTTCCATGGCCTGCTGGAAATGCACAGCTTTACTCTCGCGTGGGCCATATCCCTGACGATCTGGATCAGCTCTTCGTGCTCGCCCTCGTACTCGTCCAGGCCGTCGATGAAGATACAGACCCGCGACCCAGTGATGCCTCTGTGGAGTAGGCGTCTGAAGCTTGCCAGCAGCTGGTGTCGTTCCCAAGGAGGCAGTTGGTCCTCGGTATAGCCCATGTCCAGCAGCTGCGCCTGGTCGGGGAAGGTGAACCGGATGAGGTGGGGCTCCTGTCGGAGAAGGTCGTAGAGCAGTGATCGGAGGAGTCCCTCCTGGGACTTTTGCATCTCGGTCCCGTTGATCCAGAAGAAGTAGCTGGCTATGACAACTTTGGAACCGCCCGCTTGGTGGGCTAAGTATCTCGGAATGTCGTCGTGGTCAACAAGAAACTTCATGAGGGTGCTCTTCCCGCTTCCTGGCTTCCCGCTGATCCAGAATATCGGGTGTTCAGAGGTGAGCCAATGCTTAAAAGTGTTGTGGAACATCCACTGGAACGTGTTATTGTGAGCCCCAGCGACCTTTGAGTATCGGAAGCTCATGGAGTTGAACCGAAGTGTTTTCAGCAGGCGTAAGGAGACGAAAATCTGCGAGCCCGCTCTGGCGTTGTTGGACAGAGACCCAACAAGCGGTTCAATGTCGACTGCCCGTCTGTCCTGCAGGCCCTGGAAGAACTCGTCCGATGACATGTTGCTGCGGCCGATGACGGTCTGTAAATCCTGGCGTGATAGCTCGTCCTTGATCCCGGCCACGGCGTTGAGAATGGCCGCTCGAACATCGCTGATTTGGTATGCCATGTCGGCCTGCAGCCGGCTGTTCGCCTCGTACAGACCGTTAAGTTTTCGTAACACTGCCGATTGCTGCTCGCTGCGACCCCCTTTCAGCTGGGTTGTTTGGACGCCATCTCGTTTGTGTTCAGCCGACTCACCTCTGAAGTATCTCCAGTGCCATAATGATTTGGCGCCTGTAGTGCTCCAACCGATTCTCCAGGTCCTTCAGCTTGTCCGATTTCATGACGGTGAGGAGTGCGACCTTGAACGAGGACCATCTGGAGCCGGTCGCCCTGGCGTGGAGCCCGTCGAGCGCAGCAAGCAGTTCTGCTGAGGCGCTTCGACAGCCCAATGCGAGATCATCCAAAATGGTGTTTATGGGCCCTCGGGGATTCTGTTCGTCATCTTGGGGGCCTGTCGTGGGCTGGGCGACGAGCCGCGACGACAAATCGTGGAGCGTGCGGGCGATAGTCGTCGCATCGTTCACAGCCGGCGCGGCTCCCGATGCGGAGCGGTAGATGGCGTTGGCACTGGAGAAGAGCTTGCAGGAAAAGTCGACAAACTGGACGATGTTGCATGCAAATCCGAGAGCCGAAAACGGTTCCATTTTCGCATACTACTCCTGTGCTCTTTTTGCTCTTTGGGAGGCGGATGCGCGGGTCGGACACGTCGACCCTGAGCCACGCGACCGAAGTGCGGGGGAGAGGAACTGTTCACTCAGCTGAAGTGTCCCTTGAGATTATCCTTGCGCCGGTGGCTTACATCTTTCAGCCTTATCTGCGCTCCATTGGCCACTGCAAGAAGCCCAGCTGACGAAAGGTGATAACAGCCTTGTACTATACGCCATGGGCCATGGGGCAACTGGCCGCAATAGCAGCAAGGCCGACATCTCCTTTGGCGTGAAGGTAAGACAGAAATTATACACTCAGGAACGCTTCCCATCTCGTCGGCTCAATTCAGGCGAAAAAGAGGACTTTATGTTCGGTGGTGACAGAGCCATGGGCAGCTTCAACGAAGTGGGCTTCAGCTGGGGTCGCCTCCCGTGTTGGCGCACGCAGCCGACAACACCCATGCATGTCATGTCGACCACACAGGCCTTGGAGGTTGGGCCTAGAAATGCTGACGAGAACTCCTTGGCTTTGGCCCGTGGTCGTCGGATGTGCCGCCAGCGTGTTGCCATGATCAGCGTTTGTCTGTTCGTGTAAAGGCATACACCATCCCGAGATGAGCCTTCCAGACGTCGAGCTCGACTCTTCCATGACCTGACACCGGCCCCTAGCCCCGCCTTTCACGCCCTCTTCTCCCTCCTCGCAACATCCGCCCAACTCTTCGCCGTCGGCAGCGGCGGCAAATTCACCCCACCACCCCCTCTCATCCCCTCCACCGAAGCATGCACCAGCCTCGGCGACGACACCGCCGACCCGCTCGGCACAGAGCTCAAGGTCCCCGCCGCGATCGCCGCCGAGCTGGCGATGCTCGCGGTATCCCGTACACTGCTAAGCTCACAACCGCCCACCCGGCTCCCACCACTACTCGCACTGACGACGCTCTCTCTCCTCTCCCGTTCGCGATCTGTGAAGCCCAGCCCCAACCCGTGTTCCGCCTCATCATCGTCGGCAAACCGCGGTCTGCGTACCGGCATTTCTTCATCCATCTTGCGCGCTTCAACCTCGGCCGCCGCGATCGGGCTCGGCGCTCGGCGCATATCCATGACAGCAGCAGCGCCGGCGGCGGGCGGCGGCGTGCCCACCACGCTCGTCCCGGCGAGGGATGCCTTGGACAGGCTCATGCGGCTGAAGATGGAGTCGCTCATGCTGTACTGGGTGCTGTCTGTCGATTCCGGGTCGCGGTTGTGGAGGCTTGGCGTGCCGGCGCGGATCGGGGTTGTCGGGTTGATGAGGCGCGGCAGCTTGGAGCCCGAGGTGCGAGACCGGAGCGTGTAACCTGTTAGGTCGGGGCTCGAGCCGTTGTGCGGAATGGGTGTACCTGGTGATGGCGATGGGATCAGCGAGTCTCGACGCGGCGGGGCAGCTAGGGCTCCGGTTCTGGGAGGTATGGCGGCAGCGGCGGCGGCGGCGGCTTGGGAGTAGCTGGGTCGGGAACTGTGGTCCAGTGATGGTACTGCGCTCTGTTGCGGCGGTTGGCAGGGAGGTGACCGTGGCGGCGTAGGAACCGGGAGCGGCTGGGA